AGCTATCATCCATCTTCATCATATATTGTGTATGGGTTTCTCGAAATCCTAAATACATCATGTCGTAGGTTCTTGTGCTTAGAAGCAAACTCTTAGTTTCTCTCATCTCATTTGTTGGAGCAAGAAACCAACGTATAATTTTTCCCCTTATTTGCCTAGACTCAAACTATGCAAATGCACATTCCTCTTTGGATGCCAAATGTCTAAAAAATTTTCTCCTAAGTTGCAACCTCTACGTTGCACCTTCTTTCCTCCTCCTACAAAACAAAAAGTATAGAAAATATCTCCATTCACTTAGCCCAAATTAAGTGAATGTGTGCCCCTTTCTTTGAACACCAAATGCTCAAAGAAATTTCTCTAACTTGCAGCCCATAAGTTACACATCATTCCCCACTTTCTACAACCCAAAAGTTGTAGGAAACCATCTCATTCTCCTAAGAATCAAAATTAGGAAAATGTATATCCCTCTTTGAACACCAAATGTTCAAAGAATGTTTATGAGCTTGCAACATCCAAGATGCACATCTCTTCTTCCTATTTATCTAACATAGATTTCGTAAATGATTATGTATCATTGAACACATGGTTCATTTATTTATCCTCCCATATGCAACCCATAGGTTGTGTATCCCTTCATCTCTTTCTATAACTCAAAGGTTGTAGGAAGATCTTCTCAATCTTCTAACCTAAATAAGGAGAGTGTACATCCTTCTTTAAATGTTAAATATTCAAGGAACTTTCAAGAGTTTGCAACTTCTAAGTTGCACCTTCTTCTCCTCCATCCCTCCAACCCAAATTAGAGGAATGAACCTCCTCTTTGGGCACCAAGCATTCAAAGAAACTCAAATTTATAATCTCTAACTTGCATTTTTTACCACTTCTTTTCCTACAAGCCTAAATTGTAGGAAACTTTTAAATTCCTCTTCATTTGCCTAGCCTCAAATTAGGCAAATAAATATTTATCTTTGAACATCAAATGTTCAAGGAACATTTATGAATTTGCAACCCAAAAGTTGCATGTTCCTTCCCTCGCCCCTACAACTCAAAAGTTGTAGAAAATCCCATCATTTTCCTAAATCCAAACTAAGAGAATGCATCTCCCTCTTTAAACAATAAATGTTCAAGGAACTTTCATTAATTTGCAATCTCTATATTGCTTCTCTCTATTATTTTCTACAAGCCAAAATTATAGAGAAATTCTTCTCTTTATACAATCCAAACGTTGTATGAAAATCACCTATTTGTTGAATCAAAATCAAGAAGTAGTTCAATCCAAATCATTTATTTGTTGAACGGTTGAACCTAACTCAACAAATAATTTCATGTCAAGCAAAGGAGTCAAAATCCTAGCCCTCTTTCATTCTCTTAACTCAAATCAAGTGAATGAGTTCCTCTCTTTGGATACCCGAAAGTTCAAAGAATCCTTGATGTGTAGCCCAAACCTACATATCACATTCTTATTTTTGCTTTGTCTAAATTTAGCAAAATAAATATCCATCATTGAACATAAAAATTCAATGATAATTTTGCTTGATTTGTAACCTCAAAGTTATAAATCATCCTCACCTATTGAGCCAAAATCAATAGGCGACCCATCTTCCCTCTCCACCTCCTAAGTTGTAAAAAAATCTTCTCCTTAGCTACAAAAGCTAAGGAGGATTTTTCAACACTTAGCTCACACCCTTTCCTTAGATCCAAACTCCAAGTGAAACACCCTTAGTGTGACATACCACACAAGCCTCACACACTTAGATGCATAGTCCCTTATGCATGCTAGGATTATGAACTTTCTTTTTCTGCACATGTTTGATGCTATGGTGTGATTACCTATTAGATTGTCTACGTTATGAGTATTTTCCCTTAAGTGGTTAGTATAGAAATATACATGTTTTTCTTACAGATTGTCATGTCCAAAGGGAGGCGCTATAAATCATAAGCAAATTTTGAATGTGATATAATATATGAACTGCTTTCTAACTTTGTTTTGTAGTTTTGAGTATTTTATAATTTTCATATGTATTGATAAAAGTAGGAATTATATTAGACTTGTGGGGGTTTGGATCAAAAGAAGGAAGTGGACTAGAAGGATGTACCTGTTGAAAGTGAAGCCTGATATCAATTCAGAAGTCAAATGCTTGATCACAAGTAGAGTCTGTAATAAATTTGACTGGGTTATATAATGCAGGCAACTCAATTGTCAAATCTAGTTATAATAACTTAAACTCTATAATTTATGTTCAATTTGTTTGATTTATGTATTCAAGCATGTTTGGTCTACTTACCTGATTGCGTAATAGAAAAGTATGCCTTTTTTAGGTTTCTTTTCTTGTTTGCTTGGGGGTGGCTTTAACTTTTGAAGTAGTAGGCTCTTAGGATAAAAATATAATTTCTACCCATTAAAATGTAAACAATCTAAAAAATGAAATTATGCTCCATGACTTTATAACAAAAGAAAAATTGCACAACTCCCTTTCAATGAGCCAAATTTTTCAAAATTAAAAATAATTATGCATAGCCAAAAATGTGTCTCATGTAAAATAGCCTTCACTTAGGATCAGATAACCAAAAAAGTCTGCATTTATGAGTCAACATTCTACATATCCATCATAATTAGGCATCTTGGCCTCAAAGCCAAGTTATAAGCCCTACTTCCTAAACAAAAACAACATTTCACTCTTCATATGCATTGAGACAAAAATCATGATTTTAAAAGCGTTTAGATGGGTTTAGTTGGTAGCCCTTTTCAGGCAGGGCAATAAATCCAGGGGTCGGGCTGGCTATGCCTCACGTGAGGCGTAATTTGTAAGTCCCTTTTGTATTCCGTTAGACTTAGGTTAGAAGTACTACCTCTCAGTAGTCTTCACCTTCCCAGTAGTTCCTCTAAGATTTCTCATAATCAAGTTCTCTTACTTCACCTCCTTTAGCTCTCATTTCAAAATCTAATCTCAAGTTGATCCCTTCTTCCTTGAATATCCTAAAGGTCAAAACCCTTTAAAGAAGACTTCCATGAATTCTTTAAAATTAGAATTTAGCCAATATCTAAATGACTTCCAAAAACAAAAAAACGACTAGTTTAATCAAAAGTATTCTCAAGCAACAAAGCTTGAGATATAATTAACTATAGAGGCTTGCCCCTATGGGATATATGTACCTCAGAATAAATAAATCTCATTCATCCAAATATTAAATAGGAGAATCTTTGTTAAATTGTAAATTTTATCAATGAGTCAACAAGGAAATGATATGTTTATCATTCGGGGCAATATATCATCATTCTTATGCTATACTCGATCATAAATTATGCAATCCATTTAAGGATAACAAAAATTCTCCAACAAGTGCCCAAACTTTCATGAATATTCTTTCATAGCTTAGATGTAAAACGACTATCTCTATCTGATACAATGGCTTTAAGAATTCCATGTAATCTAATGATTTCCTTCACAAACAATTTGGCCAATTTTTTCACTGAATTAGTTTAACGAATAGGAAGGAAATGTGCTGATTTGGTTAGTCTGTCAATCACAACCCATAAGCAATCATGCTCTTGCCTTGATCTGGAAAATCCTGTAACAAAATTCATTGTTATTTCTTTCCCCTTCCATTCTGGAATTGGCAATGATTATAACATTTCACTGGGTTTTTGATGTTCAGCTTTAACAACTTGACACTTTTCACATTTTGCAATATAATTTGCTGCATCTCTTTTCATTCCTGGCCACCAAAACACTATCTTTAAATCCTTATACATCTTTGTACTTCCAAGGTGGATTGAATAACCTGAATTATGTGCTTCATCTAGAATTTCCTTAATCAAATCTGATTCCCTTGGTATCTACAAATGCATATTACTCCTAGTTCTTCCCTGTTCATCAACACTGAGATACTCTCTTTTTCCTGATTTGTTCTTGTTTCAAAAGCTTCTGATATTCAGTACTAGTCCTCTAAGCTTCAGTGATTCTTTCTTCTAAAGAATAATGAATTGACATCTGATTAAGGCTAACTGAATCTTGATCTCCTTGTACTCTAACTTTCAATTACAAGTTTTCATTTCTCTAATCAATCATTCTTCAATTGTCAACATATAATGCAACTGTGTTTAGGTCTTTCTGCTCAATGCATCAACTACTACATTAGCTTTATTCGAATAGTACTGGATGTCAAGATCATAATATTTTATCAATTTTAGCCATCTTCTCTGTCTTAGATTTAATTCCTTCTAAGAGAAATGCAAAATTTGTCTATGCACAAGACGACGACACAAATTGTGATTCTACGCTCAATGAGAAATTACACAACAAAAATATAAGCATGCCTTATTAATTAATTTATTTATTTTTTTATTCTTATTATTATTTCGTAATTTTATTTTAAAAAACTTCAAATCAAAACTCAAATTCAAATCCTAGTATCTCATTATATCCCAAATTTTCCCTTCTTATATGTTGCAGTGTCGCATTATGACTTCTATATCTAGTCTACCTCGCTTAATAGATCACTAGCAATTCATAAAGAAATGGCCCTCCTTGGTCTACCTTCTCACATAAACCCGCGCACTCCCTCTCTTGGTCTACTTTGAAAATCAAGAGTGACTTGTGGAGAAATAGAAACTGATCTTTGCAGTAATTTTAACAATATAATAATGCAAAACTAACACAGTTATTTTATTTCGAGAGAATATAAATGTCCATTTCTAGCATTGATGCAACTCTAACAAACTTAGGTGAAACTTATAAAAGATTGGCATTTTCAGTATGTCAATAGAAGCATCATAGGGAAACTTCACCTCAAACCATCAGGATAACAAAACATAAGAACATTAATGTCTCCTAGCACACACATTTCATCTTTGTAAATTTAAACAATTAATTTCTAGCCAATTCACAAATATTCTTGCAAACTCAATAAATATATCTCAGAAATTAAGTAAATTGACCAATAGAGAAGTATCCTACATTGAGATACAGAACTTCATTGGAATTTTTTTAAAAGGCACAAACCATTGGAGGTTGGACATCTGGAACCACCCCAGAAGAGATAACTTTTCCCCTATGATGACCACCTCTAGTTGCTGCATATACTTTTGTCAGCTCAACAATCCAGATACTAGTCTCATTTGATTTTCTGTTGTAGACAACAAGTCTAGCTCTCCTAGGGGGTAGCTTACTGGGAATGACAGGACCACCTTTTGTTCTTGGGAGCAGTGATGGTTGGAATGGTGGGAAAAAATAGGCATCAGCTAGCGCCACTACACTTTTTTCAGGCTCCAACAGAACAACCTCAACAAATCGCATGCTATCCCGCACCTAGAAATTATAAATTTATTAAAAGTATTTCATCATGAAAATATCCCAATAGCACAATAGCATAATGAATAATGTAGAGAGCAACTCAAAAGTAGGGTTCCTAACCTCAGGGGTTGCCCCAGCAGCCCTTACTGTTGCAACTGCAACAGAAATCTCTGCTGCTGACAAGGGGTCTAAAGGGTGGCTTGCCTGAGATCGAGCAATCACTTGGATGCCTGCAAAATATAAGAAAAAACCATTAATATCTAGATAACTAACATCCCGTTTGACATCATTTTTATTTTTTAAAAATGTTTTCTTATCAGGTCCTCTGAATGTGAAGGAAAATCCCCGCATGATTGAAGTTGCTAGATGAGAAAAAATATGAAATAAAAAAAGCAACCTATGCATGTGAGGTGAGAACAATACTTATACTTATTTTAATGATGAAAAATGTCAGGGGATAAAAAAATTCATACGTCATATTATCATATAATTTAAAAAATAACTGCATTTAAGTTTTGAAATTTCATGCTCACCGCACTTTAGAGAATGTTGGATCTAAATATATCCATGAATGACAACCGAACTTATTAGTAGATAACCAACGGGTTAGACAGAAAACTGGGTAAAGTTTGAGTGAGTATAGAGAGTTAATGAAAGGCTTAAAAATCAGTAAGAATATCCTCACAACAACCAAAGTACATCAAAATATGCCAAAAGATCCAAAATATGCATCTTCACCTTTATTTATAGAATTCATAAGGCTATAAGCATGTTCAATATGTGTGCCATGATGATGAGATAGCGCACATTTACCTTTCAATGTTAAATTTCGGAAACATATTAAACAAACAAGTTTCCATTTTACACCTTATATTTTATTTCTTTATACTCTGCACACATTTATCATAAAAGAAATATTAAAGTCAGAACTAAACTGAATAAGAAAGTACTATTCCTGCAGCTTGTCAGTTCAAAGTACAAAAACTAGGCAAGCTCAAGTCTCGGGCAACATATGATTAAAATACTTGACCAATTCAAACAAGAACAGATATTGATTCTGTTTAAGTATGTTAAAGGCATATAGCATGTTCAAACATCACTTTAAAAGCACAAGCACTTGAGAAAGAAATCTTCCCACATTCCTCTGGTAAGCTTCTTCAAGGACTGTTCTTTCACTTGATAGTGAAATATCTCAGAACAGATAGATTTGCTTGACCAGTTCAGATTTCCAAACAGCATGAAGAACACAAATCTCACAATTGCTTTCTTACTAGCCTATTAGAGCTTCATCTCATTATTAAAACACTTGCCCTATTAGAGCTTCGCCTCATTATTACAACACTTGCCATTATTTCCTCAATTCTTTTTTTCAAAATTCCATGAAGACCTTCTCAACTACATTTCCAGTTCAGTCTCGAAGCGAACCCCAGCAATTGTCTCAAAGATCACACTTCTTCCCTTCTATCATTCATTAAAAGAATTCCACTAACAGAAAGAAACCGAGGATAGGAAACTTAAAAGAGTGAGGCTTTATTTGTTTGAGCTTTTTTTTGCCTTTTCCGTTTCCTAAAACTGAGGAATTTTTTTTGTGTTGTTTGGTTCGTCAAATCACGTTCCCAATAACTCCTTTTTCTCATTTTTCTGCAATTTTGAGAATGCTTTAAATGTGCTTCTCCGTTAAAAAACTCTATTTTCTTAACTAATATTTTTTAAAACTGTGTTTTACAAAAGCGCAAAAAAAAAACAACGAAGCCTGAATAAGCAGCAAACTCGCATCCTATCTCAAAGCAAAATCTCCATAGAAAAGAAAAGGCAGATACAGAAGATCATAACGGTGAGAAGAACCAAAGCCTTATAGAGAGATTTCCCTTGGGAAACGGTAGGAATTTCAGGAATTGCATAGGAAAAGTCGCATTCAACCAAAAAACTAACTGAAAACAGAGTGAGAAACAAAACAAGAGTCAATCGGCCGAGCAAAACCTTTATTTTACCTTTGGAGGAAGGCTTAGCTGGGGGCTCAGGAAGATCTTCGACTGGTCGGATGAGAACGCCGGAAGACATGGCTTTGGCCCCACCACCGACCTCCCTCATGGGCCACGTAGCTCCTCCGCTGACGTTTCCCTTGTCCGTGCTTGTGCCTCCGACGTTCGCAGCGCTAGGGCAACAGGGCGTCGTTTTTTCCTCAGCTGCGGCCATTGCAACGGGTTTGCGAGCTCACCTAATCCGCAGCAGCATCCGACGTCACCACAATATGACATACAGCAGATATCCGTTACCTTGATTCCCTATTTCCTCTCTCACGATTGCAGTCTTCTCCAACCCAATTCTTGGCCCTAGCCCTCTACATTTCCCGGTGACAGGAAGTAGATGCCAGGTACTGGTAGTGTCATCATAGCCTTTGCTGCCGTGACTATGACTTTGCTCTTATGATTGAAGGCTTTATCTTTCTTTGAATTTAACCAGTCTTGTTATTGAATTGGACTCTAAATTGTGTTTTCAAATGTTAAATATTGCTGGGGATTCTATGTGTAACTCTTCTCTCTTTTATCTTGTTAGGGAGGTTAAAGAATTTATTAATTTTTATGATTTTTTTTACCTCCCTTATCCCTAAGATTGATAATGCATGTGCTAATTGGCTTGCCATTTGGGGGAAATATCTGGATGGCGTGACTGATATTATTGCTTCTATTTTACCTGCTTCTTTGAGAGGGCTTTTAAGGCTTGATATGATTGGTATGCCATATGCTAATACCTAATTCCTGCTTTTGGTTGGGGTTTTGTTTGGGTGACTTAATGAGTCCTGCCCCTGTTCTGATGCTTAGTTTTTTTCCTGGTTTCTTCCTCGAGGCTTTTTCCATTCTATCTGGTTTTGGTCTGGCTTGACCTGAGCTTATGCAGGTTTTGACTTTGTGGAAGTTTTTGGCTTGTCATTCAACTTTTGTATTTGTAGTTCCTAATTGCTACTGGGCGGGGTTATCACTACATGGGAGATGGTTTTTCTGTTGCTCTTTGCGGGTGGATGGATGGAGGTTTGGGGGTGTCCCTGGTTTTATTGGCTATTTATGGTGTTGTAGGTCCTGTGTTTTTACTGGTTTTACCCTTTTTGTTGTTTATGCTTTATCTGGCTCCATTGGGGTTGTTCCTTGGAATGGTTTTCTCTGGTTTGGTGGTAGTTGTTTTTCTCGGGTTGATGCTCTCTCCTTCATGTGGTGTCTCAATGGCCTTTTGTTGTTTTAGACTTTTGTGCTCTGCATTATGCTAGCTAGAAGAGCCGGTTCTGGTGGTCTTTGCCTTATTCTCTCTCTCTCTGTTTGGGACGGTTACCTAGCTTTCTCTAGATTACTAAATGGTGGTTGTGAAGCTATGTGTTGGTTTACTGTCACTATCCCTGATAATTGGAGAATCTGGATTTTGAATGAGTATTCTAATTATTTTATCAATTATATGGTGGTTAATTGTTTGGATTATCTTTATACTTTATTTGGCTATTCTTTGTGCAACTTTCTCTACAGGGGCTTTTTTGTCCAGGCATCGGCTGTCCTTTTTTGGTGGATAGGAAGATGAAGCTTGATATTGGTTTTGGCTCTTCTCCTTTTTTTTGGGTTCCCTCTCTTGTGCACCGTAGATTATACATAGGTAAATTTATTGGTCATCATATCTCACCTGATATAAAAATCATTATTGGATCATCATTTTCCAAAGAAACTGCTGAAAGCGATTTTTGAATCCCCCGCCCGCACTTTTCCCGCTCTGGCCAAATGACGTCAGAGGGACACCAGCCGCCTTTAGCCGGTGATTCCTTCAAAGTTCGTCATGTTCAACCTCTACTACCAAGGAACTTTTCCCATTTAGATGCGGGTTTTTCTCCACCTACGTTTGGAGATTCTGAACTTGATTTCAAATCAAGATTCAATCGTCCCCTTATTATTAAGGAAGGGAATATTCAATTCCCTACCAAGCTTCCTGAAGTTATCAGCAAAGGTAAGGGCATTTTGACTGAAAAATCTGTTTTGGTGAATAATGGATCAATTGGTGGTAAAAATGATGATCTGGATAAATTAGTTTTCGTTCAAGCAAAATCTCCTATTCAATGTCTGGAATTTTTCAACACGAACAAGGATGAAGATTCTGGGGAAATTTCGGTTGTTCAAGTTGATTCGGATTTGCATAAGATTCGTATATGTGATGACGGATTTCTTGGTAATTGTTCTGTTCAAAAGACTTTTAGAATTACAGAAGATGGAATCAACCAATGTTACTAATTGTGTCTGGATTAAGAAATCCAACATCAAAGTTTCTGAACTTGATCTTGGCAAGGATTTCTTAAAAGATGGCTCTGTCGTCAAGCTTCATATTGGAAAAGAATTGGAAAATTCTAATAGATTTCAGAAATCTTTGGTTTTGAAAATATTTGGAGACAACATCCCATTTCACATCGTAAGTATTGAACTGAGGAAGCAATGGGGCACTTTTGGAAAGTTCCATTTAACTATGCTAGGAATGGGATGGGTTCTTTGTGCTTTTGAAGAACCCGCAAGCATGGATCTAGTTTTAACTACGAGTCCATGGTATGTGAAGGGCAACATAGTAGGTATGGACAAATGGTCTCCAACTTTCTCACCTAAATCTTTCAAAGGCCTCACTACTCCAATGTGGATCCGTTTTCCTAATCTCCCGTTAAAATGCTGGCATGAGATTAATGTTTGCAGGATAGCATCCATGGTAGGAAAACCTTATTTGGTTTATGGCAATATGTTCCAATGGGGAAGGAGAGAATTTGCAAGAGTTTGTGTACGTGTCAAACTTGATGAAAAACTTTCACTAGGTGTATGGGTTGAAGGCAGCCTAGGCAAATTCTATCATAATATTGAATATCAGAGACTACCAAAATTTTATTTCAGATGTGGGAAGATTGGTCACTTGGAACTGAATTGCTCTAATGGTGATAGGAATATAAATAAGATGGTTGTTACTAATGAAGTCCAACCCAAGGCAGTGAATTATGTAGCTGTTAATGAGGTATGGCAGGCTCTGCAGCAAAACTTGGAGATAAATATGGACCTTGGATTCATGTCAGGTATGAGAAAAAATCTTTTAGAGATCTTAAACCGAGGCTGGTTAATAAGCAAATGCATAGTAATATTGCTAGCAGGGAGGCTGAAGCAGTTTCAAAAGATGATGCCATCCAAGAATCATTTGATGTTGGTAATCTTGTCCTTGATATAGAGAAATAGAAGTTCTCTGGGAAGGTAATAGCTGATGCTGGGTTGTTTAAAGCCAACATAGAGAGCCAAGGGGTTCAGTTAAATAGAGATCTTGATGGTATGGCCAAGGATGAGAAGATTGATATTAAGGATTCTGTTGATTTTATTTTCATAGATTAAGATCTAAATCCGTCCATCAAACTTATTTCAAAACCCAATGCTGATATGGTTCGGAATTATGTCAATTCTATTGTTGTTAATAATAGATTTGATATTCTAAATTCAGCTGTAGGAGAAGGAGAGATTCTTGCTATAGACAAGGATGATGAGAATGAAATTTTAAAGTATAATGCTGGATCAGAATCTGCTAAAGTTTTGACTGACAGTAATATGGATAGATGCTCCTCTGCTAGTAAGAAAAAACCAAAAGGTACTGAGCAACTGAAAAGTTTAGGACCTATTAAATTGGCTACTCGTACTAGAAAATTGGAAGGTGAAGTAAAGGTCAAAGTGGGGAACTCTTCCCCTCTTAACCATTAACAGAGTCCTTAATTTTTTGGAATTATAGAGGAGCTAGGAAGAGAAAGGCTTCTCTATATCTAAAGGAGGTGGTGAGGGACTATGATGCTTTTTTTGTGGGATTACTACAAACAGCATTGGAATCCTTTAATAATAAAGATGTTATTTCCTTAATTGGCAATGGGTAGGATTTTCTTCGTGTCCCTTCCATTGGTCTATCAGGTGGTATTGTAGTTTTATGAAAGAAGAATATTGTTTCCTTCAAGATGCTAGAATTCTCTTCTCAGTTTATCATTGGTGAATTGGAAGTTCCTAATAAAGGGAAATGGAGAGTGGCAACCATTTATGGGAGCACAGATGCTTGCAAAAGAAGGAATTTGTGGGAAAGTTTGAGTAATTATTCCAAGACTAATGTGCCTTTGATTTTGGGAGGAGACTTCAACTGTTTACTTTCAAGAGATGATAAGAGGGGAGGAAGAAGGTTTTATCTCTCTTTGGGCTCTAAAGAGATGAAACAATTCATAATTTGCAATGATCTATATGAAGTTGGTTTTGCTGGACAAAGGTTTACTTGGTGTAACAACAAAAAAAGTGGTGATCGCATCATGGAAAGGCTGGACAGATGCTTTGTTAATCCTACGGGTTTAAATTTATCTCAGCATTTGTTGGTTAAGCACTTGCCTAGAGTGGCCTCAGACCACTATCCGATCATGGTGAAGCTTTTTCAGAATTTTCCTACAGCTAAGATAAGTATGAAGTTTGAAGATATTTGGGCGTCTTATCCAGCTTCTATTGCAGTTGTTAAGAAAATCTGGAATTCGAAGTATCAGGGGAATCCACCTCAAATTCTCAATGCTAAACTGAAGAGAACTCTTAGATCCTTGTTCTTTTGGAGTAGAGAGAAGCATAAAAGTTTGACAAAGCTAAAAGAAAAGTTAAAGAAGAAAATTTTGGAGGTTAAAACTAAAGAAGCAGAGGAAGGAAATCTTACTACATAGGAGATTTGGCTTCTCAAGTGCAAGATCAATGAGTTGAATTCAACGTTGGCCCGTCTAAACACATGGTGGCGTCAACGAGCAAAAGTGAAGTAGACTTTTGAAGGTGATTATAATACAAGATTCTTTCAGTCTTATGCCAATGCTAGAAGAAATCAGAATTTTATCATGTGCATTAAGAATAAAGATGGAATTCTGGAGGAAGAGAAAGATAAAATTGAGGAGACTTTGCTCGATTTCTTCAAACACAAATGGCACCAAAGGAAAATCTGTTTGGATGGGTGGCCAGAGGCTTGGAATTCAATTTCTGAAGAGGACTTCAATTTGTTGAGTAAAGATTTTTCTTTAACAGAAGTAGAATTGGCGATTGAGCAAACAGCTGGCTTCACAGCTCCTGGAACTGACGGAATAACTTACTCTTTTATCAAGAGTTGTTGGAAGATTATCCAGTCTAATTTCTGGAGTGCACTGCAGCATTTTTTTCTTACAGCTGACATGAACAAGTCCTGGAAGGAGACACTTATTGTACTAATCCCCAAAGTTAGCAACCCTTCTACTCCCTCAAATTATAGACCAATCAGCTTATGAAACATAATTTACAAAATTGCAGCTAAAGTCTTGGTAAACAGGATGTCTTCCATCATTCCAAACTCATTTCTAAGGAGCAAGTTGCGTTAATCTCAGGAAGGTCCTTATATGATCATGCTCTCTTGGCTCAAGAAATTTTCCACAAGTTCAGGTACTCTAAAT